TCCGAGACTATTTAGGTTTTTGTGTCAAACTGAACAAAGCAGAGCTCCCATGCAGAGATTTCACTGCTCATATATACTCACATTTTTCACGAATTCATCCTTTCATTTACTGGTAAGAACATTTCACCTACATTTCGAGGAGAAGAAGAGATTGTTAATCCTCGATTGATAATCCAAGATCTTCTTAAAACAAAATTTGAAGAGGATTAAAGTCGGCCATGAATATTTTCAGCCCTTCTGTTTGATAAAACAAATATCTGTTGTATCACTAAAACTGAGACGGTTTTGACCAATAAGTTGTGCGTTTTGTGTCATTTTACTAACAACCCTCTTGCGTTCACACTGGTCAGGATCATCCCAACGGTCTCTCTTTAGCGCTCTCTCACAATCTCTATCCCTCTTCTATCCTATTTCCCCGTCGACCTCTTAAACACTCTCATACTTCAATTCTATTTAACCACATTTCCCTAAGAGCCACAGGTCTGGTCCGTCCACTGAAGCTTCTATTCACAGTAGTCCAGTGCTGAGATATTTAATGTAATACGAATGGAGATGAAGCTCATCTGGATGGCCTAAAGCCTGTGTCTTGCAGTGCCACCAAAGCCTCACAGGAGCAACAGGGACTGGAAGCTGCACTATGGCTATTTGTTTCACAAAAACACCCCCAACACTGATGCACATTGCAGGTGTGGAAGTGGAAAACGTTCCACTGCGTAACACAGGAGCTTCCTTTTACTAAGGTATGCACGTTTGCGATAAGTGTTTGGATAAGCTCAGATAAATGAATGTTTGGAATGAAATACTTGGTGCATAAAAATGGTGCAGGATTTACTTTGAAACAATTTTCACTCAGAAATTGCTAAACTACACAAACAATTATGCAAGTAATGGATGCTTACTGATTTATGTGAACACTATACAGTATGTATTGTGCAAACTGCACTATTAATGCATGTTTATTTGTGTATTATTATTATTTTTTATCTAAATGTTTTAACTTTTGGCAAGTGCATAATTAAATAAGCTCCACTCACTGTACACTTCACATTTTGGCAACTGTAGCAGATCATCTAGCCTATGTATTCTCTGCATGCGTTTTTGATTTGAACACACAAATATAAGTTTGTGAGTATGACAACTTTGCCCCATGTAGTTACCGGTAGCTAAATATGACAAAACCTCTCTTTTGAGACATTTAGCGTTCTATAAAAACGCTGCATGTATAGTATGTCTTCATTTAGACAGCTACATGTGTGTGTGTGTGTGTGTGTGTGTGTGTGTGACTAACTGAAGGTCTAGCTAAAGGAAAATGCCACTTGTTGGGCACTTTGGCAAAACCTGATGCTAAAATGTCTGAAAATGTGAGGGGAAAAATGCACAGTATATGGTAATGTAATATAAAATACTATTAAATCTTTACGAGATTTCTGTTATTGTGGATACAGAAAACAATCCTAAAGTTCAGACTTGTTAAATAGGAATTTAGGCGTTTCTGCACAATGCTTAGATGCAGAAACCACATTCACATGAATTAATGTTAACAGCTCCAAAAAAATGACTCCGAACTTCATGACAAGTCAGTACGATACACCCAAAGACAGATCTCTCAAACCTTTTAGCCCAAAGAATTTCCTTGACTTTGCTGGTTGTTCATGATTACTGGATAAGGTTTTATATGTATTATTATTTATTTATATATTTAATAGAGAGTTGAGCTAATATAAATTTATTAAAAAAAATTACCCAAAAATTCAAATACTCCCATAACTTATTCCTCTTTTTTTATTAACATCCTATTTTTTCTAATATTTTATTTTAATAGTAATTATTATAATCACTCAGATTAAAAATCCATTTTAATGCATGATTAAATTCAGGAGTTTTATATATATATATATATATTTATATACACACAAATTAGCCATTACATAATAATTACACCAAATAGTGCCGCATTTTCTTTTTTTTTTTCTTTAGTTTTTAGTTTTTGAAAGTTGACCATGAACAAATCTTCTCTGGGTCAAAAGATTCAGTCAGTGGGGTGATTAGTGAATCAAAAACACACAGGACTACAGTGAGCCAGTGTCCGGCTGCTGCCCTCCAAACAAACACACGCTGAAGGAAAAAGGGGCGGATCTTCGCCAGTGGAAAATCTGATTTGAGTCGTACGAGCAGCGACTCTCAGCCTCCCTCCGAAGCTTTACATTCCTGCATGAAGCGCGTAAACACACTAAAACACAGAACGAATACATGACTGGCAAAGTGCATGCAAAACTGACTCCACATTGCGCAATATACTAAAGTACCACACATGATGGCATGCAAATACAACACTACTGCATTACTTACCCAGAATATAAAGTTGAACACGAAGAGGAGATATTTCACACATTTCATCCCGCCTTCAACTTTACCCATGGTGAAAGTATAATGTGACGGGCTCCTCTTTGAAAAGCAGTCCGGCTTGAGGTGTCAAATGCGGAGATGCTGTTGCACTGCACGAGCTCTGTCAACATCTGTACTAGTTGCAGCGGGTGATTTCTTCAGTTTCTCTGTCCCGCCCCACTGAATAATGTGTCAGGGGTAACTCGAGGGGGGATCGGGATGGGCACCGTAGCAATGGCTTCTTTCATGGGACCGTGCGATCCCAGCCAAAGAGAGAAAACTTATAAAAGCGTTTTTTTTATTTTATTTTTTTTTTATGGAGAATTACTGAGCAAACACAAATAAACATCTAGAAACATTTCACAATAAACATAAAAAATTAAAATGAATATGAAAAATTGTATCATGAAACAGTTTTTTTCCCCTTCTTCATAAATGATTCTTTAGGTATTTGTCAGTTTACCTGAATTAGGGTAACTTTTTAATTATGTTAAAGAGTACTATTATATTTCAAAACATGCATGTTGCCACAGTGCCCAATCAGAAAGCTCCAGCTGTGTAATTTAAGAGCATTTTCTCCCAGTTTTCTGCAGCTTTAAAGGGTCATTAAACCCCCAGACTAGGCCTACTTTTCTGAGATTTTAGCAGAGGTGTTTGTGTTGCACATCATAGAAGGCAATGTTAGCATTCGATAGTTCTAACTGTTGGAGAAAACTGGTTAATTTGAAGCTTTTTTTGCACTATTTTCATCTTCCGGGTTTAAAATCTACATTGTGTTGACATCACAATTTGTGACGTGGCAATGGACTACAGTACATCGATGACGGGTCGGTGTCTATTAAATTATTCATGGGACTGCGTGTTCTTATCCTATGAGAAGATGCTTCGCTTAATTATTCACAACAACTTAATTATTATTGTTTTTGCTTTGTAATAAGAGGTCGGCACAAACGCGATTCATTCACTTAGTGAGTGTAACCATTTTTACAGCTCCGTGACGCAACCTGTCAAAAGGCTTATATAAACGCCGCAGAATAAGCCTAAAGTTCTCAGAGGTGCAACAGCACGGATATGTTTTCCATTCAGAGTGCAAATGGCTGTGCATTTATTGGTGTTTTTAACTCGATGGGAGCGAAATGGAACTCTGAACCGCAAGCTGTGTGTGTTGTCTTTCTCCCCTCTTCCCCCTCCACGCCCACTTTTTTAGTGTTTTTTATGGTGAGAACTAACCAGTGCTGAAACAGGGGGTTTCATGACCCTTTAAAGGTTTCATTTGTAAGGCTGTCAGGTCGACATGTTAATTTAGTGAATTTAATATATTAATAACCTACAGGTAATGTGTCCCACCAGACCACACTTAAGCTGTGTTTCAATTCAGGGGCTGCATCCTTAGAAGGCTGCAAAGGTTGAACTGAGCATTGTTAAACGGGACATCCAGCCTAGGGAGGATTTCTTGTGTCGAATCTTGTGTCACATTTGTTCTCTCTTTCATCTTCTTTCTTGTTTTATCTCATTGTCACAATTTAAAAAAAAAAACAACAAGAATAAAAGAAAAAAATGGATATTCAATTGTCTGGGGAAAAAACAGGGTTCACAGCCTGTCTAAACCATAGTACATTTATGAGCATAATAAACAATATAAACTAAAATCTCTCTTAAAAAAGAACAATAAATAAATAAAATCAATCAATAAATCCTGTTGTCACAGGTGGGCAATACTTGGCATATGTGTGTGCGGCTGCGAAGGATCCATGTGTTGTATCCTTCGTGGCCCAGGAAATGAAGGACACAAATTGGGACAGCCTTTGTCGTGCCACTGTGATGCATTCGGTCTTGGAATGCAGCGTTTGAAGGATGCAGCCTCTGAATTGGGAGACAGCTTTAGTCTGCATGTCACATCAGAAAGTCTACCTCAGATAGGGCCTGATGAAATGTGCTTCATTTGATTGAACTTCACTTCCATTGTATGTTCCTCACTATAACCTTGACTTTTGCTATTTTTTTATGAAAATGAGGGATAAAGAAATCATTTTTGGTAAAGAATGCCACAAATGCTGTCAACTGAGCTTAACTTATATTGAACCCAAAATATTCCTTTAATCAGCATACATATCGCATTGCATAATTATACAGTATGCATAATTTAATTCAGTTATCTGTAAGTAATCTGTAACAAATAAAACAGCATGCACATCCGTTTTACTGTATGTGCAAAAAAAGAGTTCAGAGCTGTTGTGCAAGGCATTTCTTAAATTCCAGTCATGTCCTGTCAGCTGTAGCAATTGTGGTGTTTTTATGAAGTGTTGCATCTCAGTGTGCACACTAAGCTGATGTCATAGCCTGCTTTAAAACGTTATGGCAGAACAGCATAATATTAGCTGACACAAAAATAGATTAGATCCTGATTTATCCAACAGTTGTTCTGTAAATCTGACCTGCTTGAGTTGATCAATATTTTAAATTGTCATGTTTAAAATGACAACATGGGTAGCACATTTTGTCAAGCAGAAGAAAAGCCTGTCGTGGTGTGCAGTACTACCACTGTGCTGCCACCATTGCAAAACCTGTCACTGCACAATAACATTTCTCTTTAACTGTGTCAGCATTGCTTTGGTTTTAGTTACTTTTGACTGCACAAAAAGAACAGGATTTGAAATGGAAAGAAATGCATAAGCCAGTGTATTTACACTCACAGACCTTGAACTGGTAAATTATTAAACCTTGTGTGAATCTCGCTAGAAACCTTCAGGGTGTCAGGAACAGGCTCAATTATTCCTCATATAATCAAGTAGTACAGAATGAAATGAATATCTGGATTTTTGTTCAAATTAGCCACCTGCCTTATTTTTCTGCCTTGACAGGGAAGGTGGGTGAAATTGTGATTACTGTTTCCAGTTACAGATTAATGGTGGATACTACAGAGTTCATGCGATTATATCTCTCATTAGAGTGACCCTTCTGAGACACATGCCCGTGCTATTTTTGATCAAAGCAGCCAGGGGCCTGCACTATGTCTTGGTTAATTTACCTTCATTAGCAAATGAACCAGGTAGTCTCCTAGTCTCCAATCACAGAGCAACTGTAATTTGTCTTTCAAAGCTCACGTCTCAATTTAAAACATTTAAAACAGCACAGATTTTTGAATATAGACTCCATATTGAATTTAATGTTGATTAAAAACAAGGCTGTGAGGGATAGACTTACAGTCATTGGTTTGCACTGTATATAGGTCCTAGACCACATTTTCACAACTGTTTTATGGAGTTTTTGTCTTTTGGAGAGACTGGTTGAACAACTGAAATCTGAATTTTCACAGGTAGTTCCTGTAAATGAATCTGATTGGTTGAGCAGCATTCCATGACTGTATATAACAGCTCAACAGCACTGAGACTTTTTACTCTTTGTATTGCTCCGCTTGTCTGTGTTTGGCAATCAAGACAGACTGTGAGGATCTTCATGTTCATCATTCATCATCAACTCATGTGCCCTGCCTCATCTGTTACGCTGCTGCTGCTGCGGCGGCAGAGCAAGTACAGAGACTTGTTACTGCCAATACATCCACAACATGCTGCTGTGAGCATGTAAGAAATATTGCTGCTGCAAATATAACATGCATGAAATAACCCCCATATAGCATACATGAATCACCTCGTAGCAGATCTATACAGGTGGAGCTGGGGAAGGTGGAGGGTTTCTGAAGCAAGCTGCACTGCTACGCAAGCACTACTCATATATTTGAATGTTGAGCAGTGAGCTCATTGGCTACCGAGACAGGAGAGAACCAATCAGCTGTGCCATGTGATAATGATGTCATTAGGTCAGATTGAATTAGACCTATCGAACTGCACCATCTAAAGTTTCATGCCAGAACTCTGTATATTACATATCATTTGTTAGTAAAATGTAAATTGTTGCACATTTTATTAGTGCAGAGATGACTGTGTATTTTGGAAAACATTTGCAAAGAAGCACCACAATTAAATTATGTATGTTAGGAACACAGACTAAAAAAAGATGGATGACACAACTGCACTTCCTTCCACTGGAGAAAAGTGAAGGCAAAATGGCCCGAGATGGTCGCTGCCATCTTGCACTGATGAAGTCATTTGGAACCTGAGTATCTTGAAGTGGAGCTGCAATATAAAATTGTGTATTGTTTATAAATGTCCCACCCAAACTCGCGTAGACCCAACAACAGGCACACAATCATCACGCTACATCCTGCTTTTATAGCATCAACTATCTAACTAAAACCTAAACTTATTAGAAAAACAAACACTTGAATATACCTCAGCGTGATAAAACTATGTAAAATGACAGAAACCTTTGTTGGGAAAAATTTATTTGAAGTGACTTGAATAAATTGTTTTAGTTTGGCTCACGTCCCATTCATGTAGGGTACAGTGCTGGGTAGTGACTGATTACATGTCATCTGGATTACGTAATCAGATCCCAAAAATTAACTACTTGTAACTAAAGTATGTTACATTTTCAGACAGTTACTTTTTTATTGATTACATAATTATATAATGTTCACACAATAGCAATACATTATTCATAATTTATTGATTCGCCCTAATTGTTTTTCATCTTTTAAATTTACCTTTCTAAAATAGCCTAAGTCTTCCAGGTTTGTGAACATTCACACAAATACTTTTTTTTGTCAGTTTTGTGGCTATACTTATAACAGAAAATTGAGAAGCCACACGGCATTTGACCACTGGATTTACAAAAGTCATTTAAATTTTAAAAAGTGTTTTCTCAACATTTTCTCAACAAATTATTAACTTTTCATTAAATTCACAAACAACCTACAGTTCCTTTTCAGTCGGTCACTCTCGGCGTCACGTCGGATGACCGACGGATTAGGATCTCGCTTAGAGAGACCAATCTACTTCAAGCGCAAACTAAACGAGCTAATGCACATTGGCATGCGATTATTGCATCCAGCTGCTGCTGATCACAGCGTGAGTATAAGTAGGCAGCAGATGCAGCACATATTCAGCTTTACGCTTCGGAGCCGAGCGGTTCTATCGTTCTGCTCCTGACCTTCTACGTAGAGAAGTAAAAACTACTAGGCCATTCCTGCGGTTTGCGTTCGAGGGGCGGGCATAC